TAGATGGGCTTTTGTGGTTTTACAAGCATAAAATAATGTTATAAATTAGCACGATCTTCCACCCACTGACACATTTATTTTTCTTTTTTGTAATTCTCCAGCTTCTAGATTAACTGTGCCTCACTGCTAATCAACCAAGACTTTGCTTTCCTATGGTTACGACTCTGACTCGTGGGATTTGTCTTGTACTAAATTCAAGTTACTCTGCATTCACTCAGGTTGGGAATTTCATGCTGCATAAAACTTGGAAACGACCTAACTGCAGGTCTGATGTCAAAACGACCACCCTTGTCCTCGCGGAGAGAGCGAATGAGGGACAGAGACAGGATGTGCAGTTAAGATTCGAGATTTGACGCGATAAATAATCAGTGAGCCAGATGGCCATGTTCTCTTCTCTCTGGTGTTTAAAGGGGAGGTGTTCTGCTCTTTGTCCTCTTTTGCTATCCGCAGCAGGCAATGGTTTAGTCCCACCAGCATTGGTGGGAACAAATTTCAAGAACAAGTTGTCTGCATGACAGGGAGCATATCCGGTCCTGTGTGTTTACGTGCTCGGGTCGTCCTTGCACTTGCAGCCTCTGTCGGCTCCCTGGAGAAGCACTCTCAGGGGAGCCCTAGCCAATTGTGACTGCTTGGGAGGGAGTGATCTTTGAGCAAACCAGCCAAAGGCAAATGGGGACATTAGAAGGAACTGTTAATGCTCCCTTTAAAGAAAGGTTTTGACCTCCCAAATGTTTGCTTACTAACCTGACTTATTAAGGGTCACAATGTTCCTTATGTTTTTTTTTCAAGAATGTTTGATATGTCAACCAGTGATAGATGCTTGCATTATTTTGATCTTAATTTAGATTTGTCTTGTTTTTATTTTTTATATTTTACTTTGCATTTTATATTACCTGCATTTGAACGACTAAGGCCCTGTCCACATGAACACAGGTATTTTCAAAACTAAAAAATACAGTGTCAGGTTCCTGAAACCGCAACTTTCTGAAAAATACAGCCAGTGTGAAGATTTTTCAAAACTTCAGGTACAGTGTGGTTGTGTGGACCAGAGTTTTAGCCCCATGACATCAGCTGTTTGTGCGCTATTTTCTCCTTTCTTACTGGCCAACATGACTGGGTTCACTCCAAACATGGAAGACGTGAATGAGGCAAATTCTGCACATTCACTGCAAATGAATTGCGTATTCCACGGTAATCCACTTCTGTACTCACGTTTGCATTGACTTGAATGGAGTTTATTAGCGAAATATAGTTAACACCTTGTGTGGTGTGAACTCAATATAATTATCGCCACCTGTTGATTCTGCATGACCATAACATGTATCACAGTGCATTTTCATGTGGACATAGAAAAGAAATCTCCAGTTTATAAAAAAATCCATATGTGGACATGACCTAAATCAAGTAGGTATTGCTGCAGCCCCGAGAGCTCCAAGTGGTAGGGAGTTATGCTACAAGAAGGTTGGGTGACCTCCAAGTGGGAGGGACTTGCACCACAAGTAGGTTGGGTGAAGGGTTGAGGTAGGTGTAGACGTTAATAAAACACAACTGGATATTTTAAGGTTGGGTTTAAACTTGTGTTAGGTGTAGATGTTAGTAAAACTCTATAATTTGGACTCTGTCATGGAGACATTTAATACATCAATGAGAAATCAAGGAGGTTTGGACATTCCACTTGGAGCTCAAGTCTCACCCATTTGGAGCTGACCTACACATTTGGAACTGGCTCCAACTTTCGTTTATTCCCTTCTTGACTAAATGTGGAAATCCTTGATCTGTAGCAACTTGATTGCATTGAAGACAAACCATTATGGGTCTTTTGACTTGAACACATTGTTGTTTCTTGTGCTGTACTCTGCTGCTTGGTATTATTTAATTCAACTGATTAAACTAAGTCCATCTGTGTAAACTGGGTCTAAAACACTTTGAGCTTGTCCACTTTATCTTTTAAGATGCATCACATCGGTTTGAGGTTTGGTAGAATGCATTGCAACAGCAACAAAAGGCCACCAGTCCAGATCGGACTGATAATTAGTCAGTCATTGTGTCATTGAGTCAGTCATTAAGTTCACGAGAAGGTCTACAATCTAAATGGACATTCTTTTCATTTGGTTAATTGTCTACATATGTTTTACTCTACATAACATGGGCTCATGCATTCAGTAGTACTCTAGAGTCACAATGTGCACTCCTACTCCTGCAAATGAGAGAAAAGGGTCTTAACGAATTCTGAATTAGTGACAACCTTTTTCAATGCATTTTGCAGATTGGTCTCCTTTGACTTGACCATCTAACTGTCTCCTGGCAATGTGTAAAAAAACAAATAAAAACCCATCTATGCTACTTTTAAGTAAGCTCCTATTATTTATTTGACAGGGTTTCAGAGTACACTCTCTTCTTGCTTTTTTTGTGTCTTGATCATCCAAAGCTGACTCTCTCTCTAGCAGAATTCTCAGAGTTGAAGCCGCTTCGGTTTATCTGTCAAAAAATCAGTTTGAACTATTGCAACGGTTATCACAACCTAATATGAGATCCTGTGCTGTTTCTCGGGAGGAAGTCGCTGATTCTTTTCAAGTCATTGAGGAGGGTTTGACGGTTTGTTTCCAACCCCCCATTAGCAGCAAAAATGACACAACTACTTGCTCTCAGTTAGCTTTTCAACTTCCTTCTTTTGATTCTGTGAAAGTGACCTTGATTTCTGGGTTTTTGATTGGTACCTACCCGTCTCTCTGATCACCATTAGATGAAATCATCAAGGGATCAGTAATAAAATGCTAAGCCTTACAGCATAGTAGGGCTTTGAGCATGTTTTTTAGCGTTCTTTTAATTAAAATGCCTGCAGCTTGTGCAACTTTTGGCTTTTTAAATTATTATCATATCTAGAGTTATTGAAACAATGTTAAATATTCCACAATTTATTTTCCTACTGTCTATTCTTGTAGGTCTTTCTCTTCTTTTTTTACCTAAAGTAGGTTACCCTGTTATATGACCTTTTTCTAACTTGAGCTATATATCGGAATTATGTTCCACATTCTTTAGTTTGGTTTAGGGGCATTTCAGATGTGTAAAACTGGATCTTTTTTATTTTTAAAATCCAGACCTCTCCTAGAGGTGCATTGAGTGCACTTAACCACCTAAGTGAGTGCTTAATAAATCTAATGAAGTTTGTTTATTGGCAATGCATGTCATATATTGCGCAAAACGTTCTGTATATAATAACATATATATTCTGAAATTTATTAGACCTCTATTTATATACATTCTATGGGCTAACAATCTCATCATTTTAAACAAAATCTGTTTATGCTTGGACATTAGCTTCACCGTGCACCATAGTTTGTATGAAAATAGCTTTTCCATTTTAGGAGTTGTGTTGGTCTGATACCACCCGTCACGTCTTCCGCTCCATTAAAAAGGACATAGAGGCTTATTGGTACACTTGCATGTTGGTTAAAATTAAGTCCAGAAAAGGCAAAGCATTCAGGACAGTATCCTCAGGTTATTTGAAGTTCTTTCCACTCAGAACATCTTGTGAAAAGATTCCTTGACATTGACCTCTCTTTTATAAACCCGATTTACACGTCATGCATTGGAATCAAACGGATGCCATTTCAAATAACTAATAAACGTCAAGTGTTTAACGCGCGTAAGTATCAGTCGCCTTGTTCATTAAGTGATTTGTTTGGAAAAGATTAAGCTATTTACATTAGCTTTTTTCCTAGTAGCAATTACTTAAAACCCCTTATGTTTGTGGAAAGCATGAAGTGGAATCTATTTTTGTCCAAGTCGAACCAGAACATTTTAAAGCCTTAGATGTACTGTTCATTAACCCCTTCACTGCAGGTTCTGTCCAGAAAAATTGTAATGTAATTTGTTTTTTCAAGTCTAGGTACTAAATTAAAAACATTCTTGCTAGTGATAGATCCGAAGATATTGAGAGATCCCCTCTAAGTGACTTTAAGAGTGATTTAAGATGAACCATTTTCTCATTTATTTTTGGCCTTAAAACTTCAAGTTCAATCTTTGAAAGTAGGGCTACACGATATTGGAAAAAATAACTTTGTTATATTAAGTTGTTCTGCAGTATATATTGTGATTAGAATATAATTTAAGAGGAGGACAGCACTGTTTGGAAAGAATCCATAATTTTACGTTGAATATTTGGGATGATTTTGTAGAGGAGTGGATGTGCAAAAAAGATTACGAGCATGGATGATACAACTGAAGTGAACTAAACTGTGCTTTATGGTTTTCTTTAACAGTATTGAGGTACAAAAATGTAATGAACAGATGTAAAATAACTTAATACATAAATTAAATACAAGTAATATTCAATGACCAAATTATTTTATTTCAGTCACAAGCCTTAAAAACACATCCTTATGAATTTTTTTTTTTTTATTTCAATGAAAATTTTTAATTTTGCAATGGCTCCACAAATCATGTGTTCTGAACTGTGTTGCTGGTTTATGAGTTCAACTCAACATCACAGATTTCACTATGTAACTAACAAATTCGCACATCGCAATATTGACGATGATATAATGTGCAGCCCTACTTGAAAGTACAATCCATTATAGTCAATTGCTAAGCCATTTGCTAATACTTAAGATTAAAGAATGGTTTGTCCCCCCAAGTGTCCCTGTTTTTTTATTTATTTATTTTTTTTATTTATTTATTTTTTTTTTTAGGGGGTTTTACCTTTTAATGTTATAGGACAGTGGAGATTATAGACAGTGGAGATTATTAAGTGTGGGGAACAGAAAGAAGGAAAGCATGAGCATAGGACCTCAAGCCAGGAATCGAACTCGGGTCACCGTGAACACAGTGTGTTGACACACTAACCACTTGGCTATTGGCGGCAGCTGTTCCTGCCCTTTATTGCTCTCTTATGTGTTCTTATAAATTTGCAATGACATGATGGTGTTGTTTGGGTTGGCCATATTCACTTCAAGCACAGGGTTTATCTCTATCTAACAGCATGTTGTGTTTCCTTTCAGTGGGTGACAAAGTTCCGGCTGACATTCGCTTGACGTCAATCAAGTCAACGACTCTAAGGGTGGACCAGTCCATTTTAACAGGTAAAAACAATGGTGATACTTGTGCAAGTTACTTTAGCCTTTAAGCAGGTTTAATTATAATGGGCACTGTAATTTATTGGCAATCAGATATAATGTCAGACTCTAGGGATTCTGTTTTTAATAAGTAATGAATCTAACAATAACAGTTTAGGTTACACAGTAACTCATTCGGCATAGTCCATTCAACGTTTGGGTGTCTTTGGTATTCTTAAATGACAATGTTCACGTTATAATCATGAAAGCCCTGTCCCCTAATTATTCTTACTGTTTTTTATTTATTAGTTTTTTTATTAAACTCTAAACTAAACACTGCTTGCATGGTTTATAGCAAACGGGATGAAAGTGCATAAGAACTTGAATCAGGATGCACCTATTTTTTCTTTGTGCTCATTTACTGGAGTCAGTTTGTAGTTTTGCCTTTTCAATGACATCATTAAAGATTTGAAGTTTTTTTGTTTTTATTTATATATATATATATATATATATATATATATATATATTTTTTTTTTTTTTTTTTTTGCACCTTGTGACTAAAATATTGTAGATTTATCCTAAATGAAAAGGTTTAATTGCTAAATTACTACTTTATTGAAGCAAGAGAATAATCTGTAATATTGTGGTCAAGCATCTTTTTGTTCTGCTAATTTGCTCGCCCGAGTTTACTGAACTTGATATTTGGGTTATATTTTTATTTATTTATTTTTTATTACGCTTTTATGTGAATACAAGTGTGACCTAATATGGTAAATCCACAGTTTAAAATGGTGTTGTCAAAAGTATCAAGTTTGGTACCAATCGGTACTGAGATTTTAAAAATGTCCATTTCCTGCTAACATTTTAGAGTTATTAAGCTAGATCACTACAGGTACATGTTTCAAAGTCACATGGGTCAGTTTTTCTGTAAACTAACATAAAAGCGATCCGCTGATGGACCAACTGTTCTTTGTGGCTTTGAAACACTCCAGTGTCCCTGTATCTGTGTATGTACTCTGTGAAGAGCAGTCAACTGATGGCTAATCGCAGGCAATTTCTGATGAGCAACGGTGTTCAAATGTTAACAGGAAATCAACGTTTTGAAAATTCCAGTGCAGATTGTTACTAAAATTACAGTGTTGACAACACTAGTTTAAAATATTTCTGCCAAGGTCTGATTTCTAGAGCCTATATAATGCTGTATGTTGTAGACATCACAATCAAAAATGTTTAGTCTTTTTTTTTTTTTGTATTTGTATAATGTCACTGTACCCTTTTATCTCATCACAAAAACATAGTTAAACAAAGTCTCTATCAGCGCATCAGAGGCCTTTCATTGAAAAAGGAATACTTTTTTTTTCTTTGAACAAATTTTGCAGGAAAGCCACCTTATAAAGTCAGTTCAGGGGTTGATATGAGGTGGATTTTTTTTCTCCTGAGAAAGTTCAGTGCTTCTTATTTTAAAGGGAGGTCAGCTGTGCTCAAGTCTCTGCAGTCCAGTTAGGGGGAAAGACAAAAAGGAAGTGCTCTTGTAGGAGTCAGGTCTTGCTTCACTGCCTTAATTGGTAACGGTCTGTTCAACTTCTCCACATCTTTTTAGTTGCTCCATTCATGGCAGTTTTTTGGTTTGGATTCTTTGCCATCCTGAACAATTTAATAAATTAAGTTAAACGCATACCCAAGGTCTGACTGAACGTGTGCCTGATGAACTGCTCACCTGATCCTTACTCTGAGCTTAGTCATAGTAGTCAAGTAACCAAGCTGTCATGTCTTTGCAGGAGAATCCGTGTCAGTAATCAAGCATACAGACCCAGTCCCTGACCCCCGCGCTGTGAACCAGGACAAGAAGAACATGCTCTTCTCTGTAAGTCAGACTGCTGACGACTGCTGTCAGCATATAGTGGTGTCTTTATATTGTTTTGTATTATATTTTTCTCATATTTAGATTTTTGTTTTTTTCTGAAGTTTTGGGAATATTAGGGGTTTTACATAAGTGTATTAAAGTCTTATACTCACCAAAGCGGTGTTTATTTGAAAACAATATCATTCATTAAGTCATTTTATATATGTTTTATGTATACATTTTAAATATTTTTATATTTTTTTTGTTACTGGCTGTTACTGGGATAGATTTTTACTGAATTATTTTCTTTAAAAAGGTTTTACTGACCCTATACTATTGAAAGGTACATCTTCAGTTTTTTTTGTCTAAAAAAATCAATGTTTAGATGTTAAAAGTTAATTTAGACTTCACAACATCATACAGTATGAAAATATATTTTAACATGTATATGTATTTCATTGAGTGGTTTTGTTAAATAATTAACATTTACTCTTATGTCAACATTAGATAATGGAAAAGCTAATTTAAATGTTAATGAGGAAATGTACATTTGCGTCGCATATAAATTAATACTCTGCACAGCCAAATACCCAATATTAGTTCATTCTGATGATTTTAAAAAGCATATGGCTTCCATATGTAGTTTTGCATTTAAAAAAAATAATTAAATTGCATTAAAAAAACTTTTATTGTAGAAGTGAACTACAATTAACAAAATTGTTTGCAACTTTGTTCAAACTGCTTATTTATAAAGAGCTGAAATAACACATTTTTTTTAAACAGCTTAATTATTTTGTTCAATCCACTTAAAATTGTAATGATTAAGTTAACTTAGCTACACTCAAAAAACTGTTTACTGCTTATTTAAAGTACTTATTTAAAATGATATTTTTTGGGGGACAACTTAATTGTTTTATGTTCAATCCACTTAAATCTGTAAAAACTAATAAGCGACTCAGCTCATGTTGTTCTGACATAAATCAATTGTGTGAAACCCAGAATTGTTTTTACAGTGTAGTAAACTGTAAGGTGAATTGCTATCATGACATGTTTTTTAAAACTCCCCTTTACTTTCGTGTTTGTAGGGTACCAATATTGCTGCAGGCAAAGCGGTGGGAGTAGTGGTCGCCACAGGTGTAAACACTGAAATCGGTAAAATCCGTGATGAAATGGCATCCACTGAGCAGGAGCGCACACCCCTACAACAGAAACTGGACGAGTTTGGTCAGCAGCTCTCCAAAGTCATCTCCCTCATCTGCATCGCAGTGTGGATCATCAACATCGGACACTTCAATGACCCTGTTCATGGCGGCTCCTGGGTCCGTGGGGCTGTTTACTATTTCAAGATCGCAGTTGCGCTGGCTGTTGCCGCCATCCCTGAAGGCCTGCCTGCCGTCATCACCACCTGCTTGGCTCTGGGTACTCGGCGTATGGCGAAGAAGAATGCCATCGTTCGTTCTCTGCCCTCAGTGGAGACTCTGGGCTGCACCTCTGTCATCTGCTCCGACAAAACCGGCACTCTTACCACCAACCAGATGTCTGTTTGCAGGGTAAGAATTTTTGTTTTTCATGGCTGATTCTGATTGCTGAATTTTTTTATTTATTTTATTTTATTTATTTTTTTACAAGCATGTTGGAAGAGTCCGATACAGATTTTTTTCCCTCTTTTGTTTTTATTTACTTTTTACATGAATTAGATTGTTAAACAAAAAAAAAAAATTCTGAAAAAACTTTCTTCTTGCTGAAGGAAATTGCTTATTATTTCTACCAGTAGGTGGCGTTTGTAGAACAGCAGGGATAGCATCGTTTCTTTGGTTAGAGTTATAAGCTGCCAAAGCGCCGGTATTTTTATATGCATTAAATGGAGATCATCTAATCATTTTTGAAGAGAGTGAGTTTCTTTTAAACCTTTTTTTAACGCGCCATGTTTAAAACTGCTCTTAGTGAAATTGGCACTTTTGTTCTGGTGTCTGGAGCTTCTGGTTACAGTAAACTCGTCATGGTGACACTCAAGCACAAAATTCTGGCCAGGCACACATTCCTAATGATGACGATGTTGTTGAGGCAGGATTATTGTGGAGCTGCTCGATTTCATTAGTGTGAACACAAAGAGCTGTATGATAAATGCAACGCACTAACATTTTTAGTCCGTCCGAAAGTTGTTTTGGAGAGGAATTGGAGATCAAACAATATCTGTCAGAAGCAGAAAGTTCGCAGTAAAAGTTTGTGTAAAGGGAAATTTATGTTTTTTGTTAAGTGTCATGAAGTGATTCTGTGCATCCACTTTGGTCTTCGAAAGTGAAATTTGTTTGGGTATAAATGCAAAACAAAGCATTGATAATAGCGAGAGATTATCCTGGTGCAAAAGGCTTTATTCGTAAAATCTTTACAATTGTGAAAACGGCATAAAATCGCAGAAGTATTAATGAACAATGGTCAATAAACAGCAAAAATCAGTCCAAGACACTCGAAAAATGTGGAAAAATATATTAAAAAGCCTTTATTGAAATGGCTATTTATTAAAACGGTGCCTAATTGTTTTGGAAAGCACTTGCCTTCATTAGGGTAACACCATTATTCTGATGAATCCTTGGCTCAAAGAGCATCGACACATTATTGAAGGTACCTATAAGCATTTTTTTGTTTGATTTTTGGATTTTTATACAAGAACAATGGACAATAATTGTATTAAAATGAATGCAGAAAAATACTTCAGTACAGTACATCATGCCTGCTCCATCTTTGACCCGTTAACACAGTTTACACACTGCTGTAAAATCAGTGCAGAGCAGTTTGTGTACAATCTGGAACGAAAATCGGCCGAATTAAAAAGCCCCCCCAAAAAAATACTTAACACTCATTTGTAAAAAAAAACAAAAAAAAAAACAAAGTGCAATAGTGATTTCTGTGTGGTAGATCAGTGCATCTCTTGTAAGGACTCTGGAAATGTTTCCCCAGATTGAAATGAGCAGCCCATCAAAGAGGAAGCAATAACTTGCAACCCTCAGCTATTATAAATTATGTTTAGCCTATAATTTCATTCTTTGGCAACAGAGTCTGTTATTGTTTAGAAATTTTCAGGCTGAGGTTCAGCCAAGAACCGAGAGCGATATCACTGCATAGAAAGCAACACATCAATAAAGACACATTTATGATGATTCTGTCACTACGTGACTTACTCTGGCCTCAGACGGAAACCGTTAAACTGCAGCTTTGATATTAGCATGATTAATCATTTTGTTTTGTTTTGATTTGGTGTTCCTCATGACCTCGTGTTGAGACCACCCCTGCTAGCGTCTCTGTGTTGTTTTTCTGTTTGACAGGATTCATTTCAAAGGGTGACATGGTTTATTTTTCTTTCCCCCCCCCTTACTGAATCCCTGTATGCTTTTCTCTTAATCTTTTGTCATCGCCTTCATCTGCTCTTGTCTCTCTGTTCTTCAGCACCTCTACTGCGAGAGCTGATCAGTATGCTCTAGTCAGTTACTTGCAGTAGTGTTGCATAACTGACCTTGTGTGTGTGAGATTTGTCTATGATCCTCAGCAGTGCCTTCACTGTGGGCTGTACTGTATGTGCACAAAAAATGAATGTGCATGCTGCTGATATCAATCCGTTTTCAGCATGGGGAAAGGGTAAACTTAGAACCCAGTTTGTTTGTCTTTTTAATAGCAGTTGTTTAAAATAATATTCCGCTTGATTTATTCTGTGAATGCTCAAACCTTTAGTTTTTCCCTTAAATGTCCCGGTTTGCATCGACAGACCGAAAATAATAACACACTGTGGGACGGATGTAGCTAAGATAAACGGTCTTGTCATCTCTAGCTGTATTAAACCTGAACTCATTTTAATTGGTTCGCTCATCCCGCTTTATTTCCATGAATGATATCTTTAATGAAATTTCTAAGAGATTATATTTAGTGGTTGTCTGACATTTGAATTTTTTATATTCATGCTCAGAACAGAGCTTGTATATTGTTATACAGTGCTCAGCAAAATTAAGTACACCCCATTTTGAAAAGGAATATTTCGATCCATTTCTCAGTGAATATGGGCAGTGTATTTTGGTGCATTTAAACAAAACAGATTTACAAATTATATTTTAGTCACCAAAAATATTTAGAAATTGAAAGATAATGCAATTTAATTCAAGCAAAATATTGCAAAAACAAATTGCAACCTACAAAATTGAGTTTTTAAATATTTTTGTATCTGTTGATTTTTTTTTATTTTTTTTAATTTTTTTTTATTTTTATTTTTTTCCTCTTATGAATTTGTATTTAGAATTTTTCTATAACATATACATTTGGGTGAACTTTTTTTTTGGACAGTTATCAAGTTATGTTGTTAGATTAGCTCTAGATTTTACTTCAGTACTGACTAATCTAATGTATATGCACAAATATAATATTGTATAGCTTCCTTTTAAAAGTATGACTTTTGTATGATTTTTGTATGATTTTTGAGGGGTGTCCTTATACTGTATATGCTGAGCACTGTATGTGTAACAGAAACTGACATTCTAGACTAGATATAAACTGTTTGGAAATAATTAATAATAAACAATTATATGAATAAACCTTTATTCTTTCGATTTTCGATTGATTGGGTGAACATTTATAACATGAGTTTGTTAGATAAAATAAGTAAACCAGTGATTTGCATTCTCTGTGTTTTCAAAATAATAATGTTGTAAAAATAAGATATTTTTTAACACTTACTTGCAAACAGAAAATAAAAATCACAATATTTTGATAATTAAAAACATAATGGCTTTTTCTATGTACAGTATAGGTTGGCTACTGATCTTTTTATTTTATTATTATTTTTATTTGGCGGGTGACGAATATGGGTAAAATATAGTCTTATGCATTTATATATTACGGCATTTTTCCAAAAAATGGTAAGTTTGCATTTTCAAGACCCCAAACGTTGTGCTGTTGTGTAGATGAACAGTGAAAACACATCACGTTTTCTATTTTCAATTTAAAAAGTAGTAATGTAAACTAAGCATTGGATGATAACCTTTTAAAAAAGTCAAGGTTTTAAAACCGCCAAAATGTTCTGCTATACTGTTCCTATGGTATATGTCAGATTTTTGATTTGTTTCTTTGGACAACAGTATCTCCAGCAGAAAAGATATCCAAAGATGTGTTTTAAATTGTAAAGAAATGTGTAATTTTGGAACAAATGAAGACAGCAGAAGTCAATGATTCGTTTGAATTATTTAGCCGGACATGTTTACTGCTCCAGAATATCATAAATGTTTCTGAAATTAAAATATATTCTGCTCAAAGGGGAAAAAGTAGTTGTTTTTTACCCAGACAGAATATAAAAAGAATATATTTTAGAGCATCGATCACAATACTGTGTAACTGTGATATTTTTATCCAGGGTTATCATACCGTCAGAATCAAATACCGGCCCATGCCTAGTGTAAATGCCGCCTCTCAGTTCTATTTATTTCATCAGCTTGTTCTTAGTTTTCAGGTTGAAATGCTCAGAAATGTTGTTTTGAGGCGATTCTATTTCAGTGAATTGTTCAAATCATTTCTGAATGATTTATTAGTGAGTCATTCTAAACTAAAATATTTTTCTGGTGAATATTTCCTTAAATTACTTTTAATGAAGGTTATATAAACTCACGAAAAGAGTGCAATATAAACAGCAAACCCTTATATTGAGATCTTTGGTCACTTACTCATTGTTATAATTTTTTTACAATTAAAATACGTGTTTTGTTTTTCCTAGGAATCATTGTTTGTGATTTATTTATTTATTTATTTATTTATTTTTAAATAATTTTTTATCAGTTGTAGACATGGGCCGGTATAAGATTCTGACTGCATGATATCTTTGGATAAAAAGTTTTTTTTAAATGTCTGGGTAAAAAAACTACTTGCAAAAAACATCCCATGGAACATGGTATATTTTATTTTGACATTCAAAGTATTTTGAAAGAAACATGTCAGGCTAAATAGTCAATATCAGACATTGATTTCTGCTGTCTCCATTAGTTTCAAAAACAGTGATTTCTTTACTTAAAACGGCATCTTTGGATAACTTTCTTTTCTTTGAATATAAATTAAGTCACTGCAATGTTCAGGTCTATTGCATGCTTGGATATTGTTTTAAGCGATTTGTTTCTCAAATGTTTCCTGCATCATGGGCTGATTTGATGTGGAGGGTTGTTTTTCTGCTGGTGATACTGTTGCCCTAAAAAACTCAGTAAAAAAAAAGACAAAAACATGAGGGAAAATTACAAAAACCTTATGAACGGTATAACAGAATTTTCAAAAACCGCGGTATATCTTAAAACCGGCTATCATCCCATGCCTAATCAGTTTGAAATGTTTGAGTTTTTACCAATTATGTCTTCTTTCTCTGCAGTCAGAGTGCCAGTTTCTCTCTCTCTCCTCCACACAATTTTTTCTGTTTGTGTCTTTCAACTGCCGTCCACTGGGTTTTTTCGTACTACAGCGGGATTGCTGTTCCACTTTACATCCCACTCGCTCTCATCTCTTTTATTCGCAATTCTTTCTTGACAAATCCGGGGGATCTGATTGTCTTCTGTGCTTAAAAATATCCTCAATGCCCATTTGCTTATGTTTGGATGGGTTTTAAAGGCCTTCTGAACTCCTGGTTAACTCATGAGCGAGTGTCATGTGAAGTGTTTACATCAGTACCGCTGCTTTATTCAGGTCAGGTGGAGTTGGGATGTTTTCATGAGGTGCTTTCGAGCATCAGACATTTTCTGCAGTGGGTTTTTCTGCCACCTGCTGGTACAGATTTTAATGTGAATTTGTTTTTTTGTTGTTGCAGATGTTCATTGTTGATCAGGCCAATGGAAACACCTGCTCTCTGAAAGAGTTCAGCATCAGTGGCTCCACATATGCACCTGATGGACAAGTGTGAGTTTTGTTGAGTTAAGTACACTGTGGATTTTTAAAAGTGTTCTGTTGATCATTCATTTTTGTTTGTTCTTATATTTTTACTCCAGGTGTCATGAGGGTAAACCAGTGCAATGCTCCAAGTTTGATGCTCTGGTTGAAATGGCCTCAATCTGTGCTCTGTGTAATGACTCTTCTCTGGATTACAATGAGGTTGGTAGTTTAACATGTTCTGGTAATTAAATGCAGCATCCCGGTTGTGCTGAACTTGTTTACTCCCAGAAGGTGGCCAGTTTTTTAGGGAACTAAATTATTTATGAATGATTACAACTTTTAATATACATTTTTTATATTTATTTATTATACAGTACAACATTTGAAGTGGATCAAAATCATTAGTCTAAATTGTCTTAAGACAAGTATGTGTGTTGAATAGAATTAGAATAACTCTGATTAAAGGTTTTGATTCACATGTTAATTACTGTATATAAAATGTATAATTTTAATATTTATTAGCTATTGTTTGATATTAGATTAACTATTCAGCTGTCAATCGAATCTTTGAAGATTAATCTTTAAAAATGCTGTAAAATCATAAATGCTAATATCATTTTTAAGGAGTTGTATTACATATTGTTTATTATAATTTTAAAGCATTTCAGTTTATTTTAGTTTTTAGTGGGGTTTTTTTAGACAAAGAGAGGGAAAAGGAGTTTCTCAAGAATTCATGTCTATGCAAAGCTAAATGTGTAAACAAGAAGGTTAACATTCTGGTAAATGAAGGCCATTTATTTTTTGTCGACATACAACAACAACAAAATATAGAATGGAAAATCAGGATAATGGAAGAAAAACTGTATAAACAAAAAAGTTATAATAAAAAATAAATGAATTAATAAATATGTATATATAAAAGTTATATTATGGGTTGCTGTTTTGTTTATACTTTATAAATACTTAAGTAAGTCCAAAAAAGCCTGAAAAAGTTATACTTACATATTCTTAAGCCTGATTTATACTTCTGCGTCAGGCAACGCGCGTGGCTGTGCATTTATACTTCTGCGCGCTGTCTCTGTCGGTCTGCATTAACACTTCCGAAACGCTAGTTGGCAGTGAGGTGTAAATGTTCCTCTGTGTCAAGTTTCTTTGCTACTTTTTTGCATTTCCTGAACACTTCCGGGATGTACAAGTGGCTCAAACTTGCTGATTTTGAGGCAGGAACCGGCGGACGTGCAACAACTTTAACTATGAGGTAAAAACAAAACAAAACTTTCCATCCAGAGCTCCTTCACGGTACTCAACACTTGTAAACAATCGCTCGTGCGGCGTCGCGCCATTCGCTCGGCTCTCGGTCCCGCCCAGACTCGTCAGTGCTACCAAGCCGACCAATCACAGAGCTTGCGCTACGCGTCGTTGCGACGTGTAGTTACATTTTTTGAGAGGTGCATGTTAGTGACGGCGATGGCCACGGCGAAGGGCTATGCGTCAGCGCCGTAGCATACGCCGGTGTTTGACGCAGAAGTATAAATCAGCCTTTACTCCCTGGGCCATTTATATCGAAGTTGATATTTAGCCGCACCATGTTGGTGTTTTGTAACATCTAGTTTTTACGAGGTGAGTTGTTAGCCTAATGCTCAACCCCCAATCTGGAGGACCAGGATATACACACATACACTACAGACAATTTAGCTTGCCCAATTCACCTATAGCGCAGGTCTTTGGACTGTGGGGGAAACCGGAACACCTGAAGGAAACCCACACAAAGACAGGAAGAAGATGCAAACTCCACACAGAAATGCCAACTGACCAGCGTCCTTCTTGCTGTGAGGCGACAGCGCTACCCACTGCGCCACTGTGTCACCTGAGAAAGTAATAATAATAAAAAATAAATAAATAAAAATGTATATTGGAAAGTTATATTATAGATTGCTTTTTAATTTACATTTTATAAAATCTTATTATAGTAAGTCCAAAAAAGCCAGAGAATTAAATGGTTTCTTAATATTTTTTTCCATAGCTGTATTCATGTGTACATATTACCGTTTATATTTTTCAAAATACATGAATCTTGCCAAATAATTTAAAACGTCGTGTTTATATTCATTTTTAGACTGCACAATGTCAAAACTCAAAAAACTTCAGAAGAGCTAGGAAATCATTTTTAGTTAATGAACCCTGATTCAACTGATTTAAAGCATTTGTTATTTTAACTAAACTATCATTTTATAATAAAAATGCTCCAAATGACTATATTTTTATCTGGAATTTTGGAATTAATGTTGTCCAGGGTTTCCACACTTCTTGAAAATACTTGAATTTCAGACAGGAATTAAAGGTCTGGAAAGTACTTAAAAACAAACATAGGTCCTTTAAAAGTGCTTGAATTTAAAGTTTATGGCGAGATTTCAATAACTGTACTGTGCTGCTTTCAAAAATTGACCGAAAAAAAAAAAAAAAACTATGACAAATCATGCTTGCAGCTGGTTGGGCATCCGCTGCATAAAACATGTGGTGGATAAGTTGGCGGTTCATTCTGCTGTGGCGACCCCGGATTAATAAAGGGACTAAGTCGAAAATGAATGAATAAATGAATGACAAATAATGCAGTTTATCAATACTTTAGAAACCTCATTTGATTATTAACAGTATTGAATTCAACTAGCTTTAACGTTGTATTTGAACATGACTTTAAAACGGTTGTTTAAAAAAACATTTAACATTAAAAAAAAATGACAATCAAAACGTCGTCATTATAATATTTCATTGTAAATATTAAGTGTAAGTAATATGTTAAGTAAAGGAAGGACTTTTAAGGCTCTATATATGCTGGGGTGTGAATTGCAAAGGTGCTTGATTTTAAAACTATTATTTCTTTAAAAAGTCTTTGAGTTGGGTGTCCATTAAAGAGTTGTCAGACCTTGATAGAATATAACAAACATCAACCTTTAATTTAAACTATAAATCCATCAAGTCTAAAATAGCCCCATAGCTTTGAATGTGTGCATGTTATTGTTTATTTTTTTCAAAATAGATTATCTTGCGATGGAAAAACGCTATATATGATGGTATGGAAAAAAGCAAACACATAATATTGGTTATCAGCAATAACTTGGAAATAATTGTTGGCCTATCAGTATCAGCGAGAATATTAAAAGCACTGCATTCACAGAGCGTGTTTTTTTAAACAGCAGTTGTGTAGTGTTTCTAAAGAGTTTCTTTCTGTCAGGCCAAAGGTGTGTATGAGAAGGTGGGAGAAGCTACAGAAACCGCCCTCACATGTTTGGTGGAGAAAATGAACGTGTTCGACACCGAGCTTAAGGGTCTTTCCAAGGTCGAGAGGGCGAATGCATGCAACTCAGTAAGTCACACATTTCCAACCGCAGATTTTAAGTTAGTTGCAACAGCAGTGGGTTGTGTGGATGAGGAAGCCCACGTTTATTGCTGTTTCGGTGTTCAGTGTAATTACAGCTTTCATCTGAGTAATTGGTTGGAATTTGTCTGTTTTTCTTAGGTCATCAAGCAGCTGATGAAGAAGGAATTCACTCTGGAGTTTTCCAGAGACAGGAAGTCCATGTCTGTTTACTGCACTCCCAACAAAGCTCGCTCCTCCATGGGCAAGATGTTTGTTAAGGTAACACCACACTTTCTATGGACACTGCCAGTGATTGATTTATACACTGCTGGTCAATATTTATGAATTAGTAAGATTTTTGGTAGTTTTAGTAACGATTCCCACTTTTAACTATTGGTTTATTACCTTATTAAGGTTCGGATCACCGTGATCCGGTTAAAAAAAATTTAATATGTGACAATTCAAAATTTAACCGTGGTAGTAAATAAACTACACACTCTCCATCTTCGATACCCAGCTAAGGTGCCCCTGAGCAAAGCACCTAGGGTTGGGTTGCTAGATGATGCCATCGGCGATGGCTGTTAGACATTTTGATGCTGAGCAAGCATTGAGATCCTCTGCCCAGCCCCCGTCGCTGTAGCAACCTGCTTGTGAAAAATACACACTTAGGCCCTGTTTACACTAATACGTCTTAGTTTTAAAATGCCATTTTAGAACAAAAACTAATCTATCAGGAAACTAGTCACAGCTTCAGCACACTGCTTCAATCTTTCGCTTTCATGCTTGTACTTAGTAATTTTAGTGAAAATCGCAGATACTGTTGGTTGTGCACCTTTTTTACCAACCAAGTTTGTTGATGCAATTATAATGACACAGATCACACTGCCTATTCATTCCAGATACCCATGGAAAAAGTGATTGCCAGGTGGTAATTTGTGTGTAATTTATCTTTATTTACTTGTGATTTGGTTATGGGAAAAACAAAGACCTTGCGGGTCAGGTAGTTGAAACGGTGGGCTACACAATTAATTTGGTATGAATGAATAAATTATTCATAAATAATTCATTCACCGCCGCTTACGATAACAGTGTCATTGTCCATCGCCATGTTTCACATTAGACATCAAATGATGCCAAATTAGTCGACATCGCCCAACCCTTAAAGCACCTAATCACTAACTTCTCACTGCATACTGAAAGCAATAGCTACCCACTGCTCCGGGTGTTTGCTCACTGTGGTAGTGTGTCAGGGATGGGTCAAAAGCAGAGGACCAGTTTCGTGTATGGCCAACCATACATACTTGAAAATACTCACTTAAGTGAAAATAATCACTTAATCTCATGTCTGTGTTCAGGGGGCTCCAGAGGGAGTAATTGACAGATGCACACACATCCGTGTTGGAGGAAATAAAGTCCCAATGACGCCGGGAATTAAAGAGAAGATCATGTCTGTGATCCGTGAGTATGGCACTGGGCGAGACACACTGCGCTGTTTGGCTCTGGCCACCCGAGACAATCCCTTGAGTAAAGAGAGCCTGGTGCTGGAGGACTCCACCCGATTCGTTGAGTATGAGGTGAGAGGAGCTTTTTTTTGTTATTACTTTTATAGTGGTCAACTATTTTTAAATTAGTACATATTTTTTTTTATTTTATTATAATTATATATTTTTGTATTAAACATTATAAATCGTAGACATTTAAATGGTTTCCTATTTTTCTATTGGTTTAAGTAAAACAGAATTTTGTTATGCAAACTTTTGATGACATTTCTTCCAAGTTTAAAATAAAAATATTGTCGTTTTAAGAATTTTTTAAAAATAAAAATATCATGTTTATATTCATTCTTAGACAAAACATCAATATCAGCTTTAAAAAGGCTAAGAAATCATTGTTTGGTTGAATATTTTAAATTGGCAATACAAATTTTTGTTATTTTAACCAAATTGTTATTTACAATAAAAAATACTCCAAATTAGAGTATTTTTATTTGCATTTTTATTTATATAGAAGAAATCCAAATGAAAGGATAACATATTACTTAAACCTATCCTTAATATACCCCCCAAAAAACTGAATTTTTAAGTGGTGGTCATTTTTACCACAGCATGTGTTATTTGTATGTATGTATGTATGTATGTGTGTATGTATGTGTGTGTGTGTGTATACATACATACATACATACATATATATATATATATATATATATATATATATATATATATATATATAATTTATTTATTTATTATTTATTAACTTTTTTCTAGTTTAGTCATGATTTTAGTTATGCATTTATTTGTTAAAATGTTTGTTGTTATATTTGAATCCGCTACTCGGCTTTCACATAATTGTAAATTTTCTTTCTTTTCCTAAAGACGGACCTGACTTTTGTGGGCTGTGTTGGCATGTTGGATCCGCCCAGAGCAGAGGTCGCAGCTTCCATCAAACTCTGTCGTCAAGCAGGAATCCGAGTCATCATGATCACCGGTGACAACAAGGGTACAGCGGTCGCCATCTGCAGGCGCATCGGCATCTTTGGAGAGAACGATGATGTTTCCCGCATGGCTTACACTGGCCGAGAGTTTGACGATCTGTCTGCTGCTGCCCAGCGTGAGGCGGTGCTCACTGCCCGTTGCTTCGCCCGTGTCGAGCCATCCCACAAATCCAAGATCGTGGAGTTCCTGCAGTCTTATGACGAAATCACTGCCATGGTAAAATATAGACTTACGACATGTTAACATTTTATTGTATGAATTTCAAGAGTTTTTATTAGAGTTGCTATATTAAATAAAAAAAAGAAAAACAGTAAAAGAAATTTTAAAACTTCAATCAAAATTATTTATATTTTATGTAGTGCAATTATTTTATGGCATCTAGTTACAAATAATGACACATCTTACTAGTGACCATGTGCTGAATGTTAATCCACCATCTACACTTTTCCAAGAGTAGAAGACTTCCATTGGCTTCAAGTCCGCTATTAAAAGTCAGTGGGATGGGATTTTTAAGTAACTGTTTGCCACATCTAGCACGAGAGCTTCTGTTTAATCCTTCATATAATCGCCAGATGCTGTCTGCTGTGCAAGGTGCAGCTATATGTCAAATTTAACTCCACGTACACCATCGCAAACGGACTTACACTGAGTAAACTAATATCACTACTCCTAAAAAGACCGGTATTGCTATTAACATGTATGCATATAATAAGGTACAGTTTGTGTCGAAACCATCAGTGCAATATCAGACAGCACTTGTGAGAACAGCACAGTTATATCGTTAACAGATTCATTCAAGCAGTGCGTGCAGGGCCAGTGAGCGCTCCGTGTATGTTTGGTCACTCGGTTCTGTTATAAAAATGTATTTTCTTGTGATAACGGGATTTCGTTGAGACATTTTCCTCATGCTTGAATATATGTATTATTTTTTGCTTGTTAGTTTGATTAGTGTTCATTTCAAATACAATAAATAAGTTTGTATAAAACTTGTAGTAACGTTGCTCATAATTGGTGGGTGCGACTAAATTTTGGCTAATGCGCCTAAATTTTTAAAGTTAGGAGCACCGGTGCTACCAAGCAAAAAGGTTAATTTCGAGCCCTGCGCAGTGTAGCGAGCTGTTTTTAATGTCTAAAAAAAATTAGTGCAAGTAAATGACTTGAATGAGACTTGAAGTATCGAGACGTAAAGTCCAATTGCTGCGACCGCTCGTACCTGAAGAATAAGGCAGATAAATTAGAGGATAATTTTCATTTGTGGGTCAACCAATATATTGGTTATTGATATATTTGTTCATTACAATCATTCTCCCTCAATTGACTCCTGATGGCATGTTCGTTTCTGCAGACTGGTGATGGTGTGAACGATGCTCCTGCTCTCAAAAAGGCTGAGATTGGCATTGCTATGGGCTCGGGCACTGCGGTGGCCAAGACTGCTTCTGAAATGGTGCTCGCAGATGATAACTTTTCTACCATCGTGGCCGCTGTGGAAGAGGGTCGTGCCATTTACAACAACATGAAACAGTTCATCCGCTACCTCATCTCCTCAAATGTCGGCGAGGTGGTCTGGTAAGGATCCTAACCTTTTGTTAACATTTTAGGAGTTTGATCTTTGTTCTTTTTACTGGCAGATCAACATTAAACCTTTGTCTTGCTTTTAAAATGTCAACAACAACAACAAAAAATGGCTCTTGGGATTGGTTTTAGTTGGATTAAAATATTTACACTGCAATGAAATATTTGTGAAAAGGATCTGTCTGTCTGTCTGTCTGTCTGTCTGTCTGTCTATCTGTCTGTCTGTCTATCTATCTGTCTATCTATCTTTCTATCTATCTATCTGATTGTCCATCTATCTATTTATCTATCTATCATTTGTTTGTTCTTTCTTAGTCTCGATCATTATCATTTGTTTGGTCATTCTATCAATCTTTCATCCATCTATATCTATCGTTTGTTTGTTCGTTCATTCGTTCTATCTATAGTTTGTTCATTCTTTTATTTTATCTGTTGTTTGTTCGTTCTATCTATTGTTCGTCGTTCCCTCTATCGTTCTTTTATTCTATCTAATTGTATTAGTGTAATGTTACTATGTTAACATAATTGTATTATTGTAATGTAAATCTTTTTTTATCACAATTTTTTTCTTGAATTGTTTACATGTTTCCAAATTTGTTAGGATCACATTTTTGTCTGTTTTTAAAAGGTTTATGGATGTTTTAATGTTTAATTGTTATTTTTTTTTGTAATAAAAATAAGTCTAATTGTGTAAATCATAAAAAGTATTCAAATTTAAGGTTTTAGGTTTTAACACAATATTATAAAGTTAAATTTTTTTCTCAAACGGTTTCATTCTGATTAATTAAAAAAACAAAACAAAACAAAAAACACAAGAACAACGGTAAAATTATTCCATAAATTAAATTAATTTTCTTTATAAATTTGAGAAGTACATTATTCTGTGCAGTAGTGGTATATTTCTGTTATGGTTTAAGTGAACTAAATTTCCGTTATGAAGGGTTGTTATTTATATGTGTATCACGCATAACAATATATTAAACTTTGCAACAGATCTGAGCAAGTCTAATGTCCTTTCAGTCTTGTTTCGCCTCAATCTAATCCCCATCCCAAAATTGATACTATATAAATGACAACATGGTGAAATTTATGCCTTGAGCAAACTCTAATCGCTGCCAAGGTCTTTTTGACATTGTTCCAGGTTTTATCTAATCGCTGAACTCACACAATGTGTTTTATCTCTGGCAGTATTTTCTTAACGGCGGCTCTGGGCTTCCCCGAGGCTCTGATTCCAGTTCAGCTGCTGTGGGTGAATCTGGTGACCGATGGCCTGCCAGCCACTGCACTGGGCTTCAATCCACCGGACCTGGACATCATGAGCAAACCCCCTCGTAATGCCAGAGAGCCATTAATCTCCGGCTGGCTCTTCTTCAGATACCTTGCTATTGGCTGTAAGCACACAAACCTTTTTGTTTTCTAAATAAAATAATGACTTTGTTTACTACATACTCAATCCAATTGATTAAATGTTTTTAAAAGAAGTCTATTCTGCTCACCAAGCCTCTTATTTTATTTATTTTTTTTTACCAAAATACAGTAAAATTGTCAATCCATAAAGTTTTATACATATTTTCTTGAATGTAGTTTAATATTTAATATTAAACTTTAATAACACAAGTAAATCAGCATATGTTTCCTCAAGGATCATATGGTATTGATAATGATAGAAAATTCAACTTTCAATCACAGGAATAAGTATGAATAAAATAAGACATTTTAAATCCATTCAATAGGAAACCGTTATTTTAGATGTGATTAATATTTCCAAAATTGATTTACTTTATTTTTTACCAAAAATGCCCTCTTTTAAACCCATTAATAATAAAGTCTTGTGATCCCAAACTTTTGATTACCAGTGTATATATTGCATATATATGTTATTATTGCTTTACAATATTAGTTATTTTATTTAATTGTTTTACACTAGTTGTTGCGTTGTTTAATTAGGGCTGAATGATATTGGAAAAAACTGATATAACGATATTTTATTTTTGAACGATATGTATTGCGATGTTTAGTATAATTTCACCAAATGATATGAATAATAGGTCTATTTGGAAAGAATGGATATTTTTTGATACATCACGATGATTTTGGATCAACAAAATATAATAAACCAATCACAAACATAGAAAAATACCACTATTGTAGAGCAACTATACTGTACAAATAAAGTATGCAGAGTTTTATGATTTTCTGTTAGTCATATTTCTGTATTTATATATTACAAGCATACATAAATAACTTTATATTTAAATAATATTAATGATATTTAAATGACTTAAATGATAAAAACACATAATTAATAAATGTTTTGGTAACTTTGATTAAATGTTGCAAAGACTCAAATGTTTTCAAATTCTGCTCAATAATAATACAGATTCAACATTGTATGTTCTGGGACTACTATTGCTTGCTCACACATAGCTATATCAATGCTGAAACGATATATTGTGCAGCACTATTATTTATTGACTCTCCGCTATCTTTTCTGGCATAAGAACGTGAGATCTGACACATGCTCTTGGTTTCGCCCTGCAGGTTATGTGGGTGCTGCTACTGTAGGTGCTGCTGCATGGTGGTTCATTGCTGCTGAAGATGGGCCCAGAGTCACCTTTTATCAACTGGTAAGAAACATTCCTTAAATGTTGAAGCACACTTTTCTTAAATGGATGCAGTTTAATGTCTTTAATTCACTTATCTCTGCAGAGCCACTTCCTTCAATGTGCACCAGATAACCCAGAGTTTGAGGGCCTGCAATGTGAAATCTTTGGGTCTCCTTATCCTATGACCATGGCTTTGTCTGTACTGGTTACCATTGAGATGTGCAACGCCCTCAACAGGTCAGAATCTAAACTTTTTAACAGTTGTGGACGCTACAAAAGCATGCATTCATTTTGAGATTTTTTTTTTAGGATCACTATATATTTTAAACCAAATTTACACTTGTATTTAGCTGTGTGCACTTTAAATCTTACCCAATCAGTCAATCAGTTTCATAATGGTATCTTCCTGATGTCCTGTTGTAGTGTTTCGGAGAACCAGTCACTGCTTCACATGCCCCCATGGGAGAATGTGTGGCTGTTAGGAGCCATCTGCCTCTCCATGTCCCTCCATTTCCTCATTCTTTATGTGGAGCCCCTGCCGGTAAGATCAATTTTCATCAATGCAATCACTTTTTTTCTGTCTTTGGACAATCCTTTTTTTTTTTTTAAATTAGATTTTTTTTTTATTAAATTGTATTTACTTGGTGTATAAATCATTTGTGTAGTATACACAATATAATATTTTTAGATACAACTGTTCTTAATTTTTTTCACACTGTGCTGAATATTTTGTAATTATTATTTTTAAAGCACTCTTTTAATCATGGAAAAAAGATGTAATTTAGAAATGAGTAAAGCTCTGACAAAATTGTTTAAGAAATCAATTCTGCATGGATTCTCAGAGCCTAGTATTAACAGCAGATGGCGCTGTAGGTTATTCTGCTTGAATCCAATTCCTTACAACTACCCCTTAAACCTGATAAAATCCTTAATAAAATTAGGAAAGGGTTAAGAGAATTACAAAAGTGTTCACTGTGAGCTGTTTACATAAGTCTTAATCTTTACATTAAGACAATTTACATCACTCATACTAATGTACAATACTTCATGATTATTTGAGTGCAGTTAAAAACTAGCATAGAGCCCCATCTGCTGTTTAAAAACAGCCCCAATCAATTCAAGAGAGAAGAGCAATGCATTTTGAATATCTCAATTTTTCACCACAGCTTAAACATGAGGTTATTGTTAAAGCCATGGTTTACTTTAAAAGCAATTGTGCCAAAATTAAGTTGTTTTAGGATTTTCTATAAGAGTTCAGTTTTGCTGGTAAACAATCACCTTTTGTTGAAATTACACACACACATATATAATGTATATTGTGGCTCTAAAGGCTGGTTTATACTCGTGTCGAGTGATTGGCGTGACCCACGGCGCCTGCCTTGCACATAGTCATGCATTTATACTTCTGTGTGCCCTTTGTGTTGCTCTGCATTAAGACTTCCGAAACACTAGCTGGCAGTAGGCTTTTATGTTTCTCTGTGTCGAGTTTCTATGTGGGTGTTTTGTTCTTTCTGAATGCTACCTTAATGTACAAGTAGCTAAAACTCGCTTATTCAGAGTCAGCAACCAGTGGACGTGCAACAACTTTAATCATAAAGTAAACGCAAAAAAAAAAATTCCATCTGGAGCTCCTTCACAGGTCTCGACACTTGTAAACACTCGCTCCATCTGGTTTGCAGCTATTAGCACCGCCCACACTCGTCACAGCTACCAAGCTGACCAATTACAAAGCTTGCACTACGCGTCGTTGTGAAGTGGTTACAATATTTTGATAGGTTTGTGTCAGCCACGGCGAGGGGTGTGACCGCACGAAAGCTGCACCAGACTATATGCATGCGCTTGACGCAGAAATATAAATTAGCCTTTAGGCTTAATCTTCTTTGACATTTGCTAACAGTAAAACGTTGGATCGCTTACAGTATAATGCCAGTCGTGTATTTTGAGCATTTTACCTCTAAACAAAGAAATTTTCTATGTTTGCGTTGCATTTTATGTAAAAAATTTTCTAAAGTGAAGAAGGATCTGGTAATTCATGGTAATATGTTTAAAGTCCAAAAAGTACATTCTAGAAAAAAACTGGAGGATGTTTTTGATGACTGCTGTCATGTTGCTTTAGGTCAGTTAATAATAATGATGGTATGTAAATTGCTCTCAAAGTGCTGGTAGGGACAATGGTAGGGGGTCGCTGGGTGACTTCCAAGAGTTTATTAAAATACATTTTATTAAACTATTAAAATTGCCATATTTTATCTATAACCAGAAGGTTAAAACAGCTGTTAATAGTTACTACATTAAAAAGCAACAACATGCAAATAAAAAGCCATCAGCCTTTTCATTAATTTTCATAGGTTTGTGTGATTAACAACACAGCAATAATGTCAGATGCAGCAGATTAAGGGCCTACTCACACTATGCCATCCGTACCGTGCCCAGGCCCGTTTCCCAGATCGTTTGAGAAGTGTGAGTGCGCTGAATCGGGCTCAAGCACGGTTCACTTGGCCGGCCCTGGCCCGGTTGGAAGAGGTGTGCCTGAGCGCGGTACACTTGGGCTTTGGCGCGGTACGCTTGTGTGTGAGTGCAAAACGCGCCAAAGCCCGAAACGAAAGCGAGACGTGACTTTTAAGGGGCTGTTTCATATGGATTTATTAATCATTCTTACTGTTCAGTGATCGCAAACTGCCGTAGTTTATTAAAGACGCAAACTCCTCACAGCACGCCAGCTGCGCGCCTTCAGCAGACCTCCTCATTCCTGCAGCACGAGAGCTTAATGATTGTTTATGAGCGCCAAAAGTGGCGGATCTGTTCGGCGAAATATCTGACTGCGTGTCACCGCATCCCTAAGGACTGTTTGGCGAAATATTTGACTGCATGTCACTGCATAACAAACGACTGAAACGATATAACTAGATAAATCTCCACTGTGCTACTGATTTAGAGCGTATGGCAAGCCGTTTTAGCATTTAAACCTTGTTCTGACTATCCATAAATATATTTAGAGATATCTCTAATTATATTTTGACTAGTCATAATTATAATTCGACTAGTCAGAATGACAATTAGAGATATCTGCAATTACAATTGTACTAGTACGAAATCAGATTGGAGATATCTGCAAATATATTATGACTAGTCATATTCCTCCATTGACTTCCATTGAAAAATATTTGCAGATATCTCTAAATGAGTTTTGACTCGTCAAAAATCCAATTCAAGATATCTACAACTGTAATTCGACTATTAGTAAATTGATTAGAGATATCTTCAAATATATTTGTAAATATGATGAATTAAAGACATCTCCAAATGTATTATGACTAGTAAAAACTCAGAGATATCTCTAATTACAATTGTGACTAGTCAACTCATTTAGAGATATCTGCAAATATTTTTCAATGGAAGTCAATGTAGGAATATGACTAGTCAGTCATAATATATTTGCAGATATCTCCAATCTGATTTCGTACTAGTACAATTGTAATTGCAGATATCTCTAATTGTTATTCTGACTAGTCGAATTATAATTATGACTAGTCAAAATATAATTAGAAATATCTCGAAATATATTTATGGAGTCAGAACAAAGATTTAAATGCTAAAAAGGCTTGCCATAGAGAGCGCTTCTGAACAGCGCAGCAGCGATGACGTAAGCGTGCCGAGGCCCGATATGGTGTGAGCGCGGGCCGTCGGGGGAGACGGGAGGGGGGACAAGCGTGCTTTGGCCTGGTTCGAGGCAACTGTACCTAGTGTGAGTACGGCCTAATATAATAGCACCAGGTTAAACTTTCTGACACCTTTATGACAATCAAATGCATTAAAAATCAATACAGGTCACATCTAAATATTGAGGATGATTTCTGAGTGCCGGTCTCCAAAATTAAACCAAGAATAGACTTGTGCTGAAAACATTGTGCATACCAGTCTCATTAGCTGAGGTTAATATAAAAAAAAATGAATAAATGACTATATAAATTATAACCCATGCTTGTTAGACTGTTGCACTTTTTGTGTTGTCAATATGCTCGTTATATTCACCTCATTCTCTGCGTACGAGCGGGCGCAGACATTTGAATCTTTTTGGCTCGAGACTTCCGGTCTCATGAACTTCCATTCATTTTTAGATGTTAAAAACAGCTTGTGATGCTGCTTGATGTTGCAAACGGATATTTTCTTATATTTATCCACTTTGTGTAGTCATGCAAACACTTGCGTGTAGAGCAGTAGTAGTTTGACAGTTTTCTGCCATTTATTAATCCTAGTCATTTCTCCTATTGGCAACAGAATCGGAAGTTCTAAAACAAATGCGAAAACGGGCACACTTCCGCATTGAAGAATAAGGTCAAAAGGCCAGTTGTTATGTGTGCAACATTTGTATGTTTATAATCACCTCTGAGGAATTTGGGGGGTTGCGAGACGCAACGCAACGCAAAAGTTTGGGAACCCCTGCATTAACTCAGGGTTTAGGTATGTACCGTGTAAAACACTAAAGTTTGAATGAATTGTGACCTACAGGTCGATTAATACCCATGTGAAACACGAAGCAGGATAACCCAATACTTGTTAAACTGGGGTTAAGAATAATCCAGGGTATAGAATTTAATGAAGGTAATAGTGACTGTACGCTGTCCTTCTCCTCTACAGATGATCTTCCAGATCACCCCACTCAACGTGACCCAGTGGCTTATGGTGTTGAAGATTTCCCTGCCCGTCATCTTGCTGGACGAAGTCCTCAAGTTTGCGGCCAGAAATTACCTGGACAAGCCCAAAGACCTGGACAATCCCAAGGGCAAGGCCTGCTCGCTTAGTGCCTGCACAGAGGGCATTTCCTGGCCTTTCGTTGCTCTCTCACTCCCCCTGGTGTTGTGGATCTACAGCACTGACACTAACGTGGCCGAACTGTTCTGGTCTTGACTGAAATGAGTGTAGACACTGTGTATGTGCGTCTGTGTGTGTGTGGTCGTGCGTAAAAAGTGTGCCTCCGCAACAGCGAATGTGTACGAGAAAGACAGGATTAACACAAAAATAACCATAATATAGAATATAACTTTTTTTTTTTTTAAATGTCCATTCGAGAAGACTAGAAGTCTTCAAGTATTAATGAACCATTAAGATTTATTCTTTTTGGACTTGCTTGGTTTCGGTCTTTTGTTTTTTAATTAATTATTTGTTTAATTATCAATTATGGTAACATTCACTCATTTTCCCCCTTATCATGTGTTCAAATGGCTGAATGGAGACAAAAGAAGCTTGTGTACAGACATTTAACACTATTTTATGCAGTCGTTCATGTTATTATTTGTTCATTTTGCTAGCAGAGAAAAGTGGGTGGGAAAGAAAGAGAACAAGACAGAACTGTTTACTAATGTTTACCTTTGTGTCTTCGGCGCGAACACCGATCAGAGCCAACGGACAAGCATGGTGTTGCAAAGCAGCATGGGAAAGAGCGCGGGACTGAATGTTTAAATGCTTCACGGTCGAATCGTCAGATGAAAGCTGCATGATCTGTATTTTGCATGCATGTTGTGTGGGTTTTTCACTTTTGATTTGTACCTGTGTGTCTTTCCTTAAGTGTAATAACTTCCATTCTTACAGTGATATGTTTTGTTTCCACTATCACCTGACACTTTTGATTAGTAAAGCCAGTTTTTTCTGCAGTAGGCAGAGTTACAGCTACCTCAGGACTGTCAGATTAGACTCTCTCTGGTTGCTTCTCCCCACCACTTAGCTTTACACCGCTTGTACACATTACTGCTTGAGGTGTGCCTCTGTTTGATAAGCAAAACTTAGATTCTTTCGGCCCTGACTAATGTTTTTTTTAATTAGTTTTTGGTTGTTTTTCCATTGTATTTTATAAATGAACTTGCATTAACTTAATTTAGGGATTTTGTTTTGGGGTGGGAGGGGTTGGAAAAAAAGATGTAAATGTTGCCGTTTAATGGGTTAAGGTCAGAGACAAAGGAGTAGAAGATTTAATTAACAAGCAAAGGTTTAGGTGTTGCATTCAAAACATGAATTTTACAATGCAAAACCAAAATGTTTCATGCTACCTTTTTTCTACTTTAAAAAAATACACTCATGAACCATTTGAATTAAAAAATGTGTGTCTTCATTTTATGATGAGCTGGTCTGATCCTGCAATGCAGCATGGCAAGTTTTAGGAGCAAATATACTTGAATAATTGAAATTAAATGTACAGAGATTTAGTTATATAGCTGAGCACAAGACTGACAGCTGGGACTCCTGTTCGGCCCTGATTAAAGCGGCCTGTATATTTGTACACAGCACATCTATACAAGAATGGTACAACTAGGTTTATTTCTTTTCATTAAATAGAGCTTTCTGGGTTTTTTTTAGTCGTCCGTTGCATCACACTAATTCTTGCTTGCTGAAATGAATGCATGTCCCTGACTATGCCCTTGGTGTGGAATTCTCAGTATTTTATCTAACAGTCATTCATGTTAGCGTAGCTTTCAGTGGACCTTCATTTAAATAAGTGTCACTGATATTTACTTTCTCCAACGATATCCCGAAGCCTCAAGTTTTCTGACAATGGACCAACCCTGCTAAACATGTATATCTGCTAAAATTCACACTTTACACATGGCCATATCGGTTTGAGTACATTCCACTGTTATATTCAACTGCAATATATGCTGTTTTTAAGAAATATATATATATATATATATATATATATCGTTAAGACTTAACTGGCTAACTTTTTAAGTGTGATTGTTTCCTTTACCACATCTAATTTTAATCTCGTCTCTGAATGAACTGAATCGACTTCATCCATATTTTTTATTAGAACGGTCCGTACACTGTGGTCTGACTTGCTCAGGAACTGAACTTGGATGTTGGCATAAACCAGACTCAAATGGAAACACTATTGCCATTAGAAATGTCGCTTTTTAAGTGGAAGTTGCCTTGGTATCAACAAACCCCAGTTATTTACACCTTTTTCATGTTTATATGCTATATATTTATTTGATAGTGCACTTTAGAGTTTCCATTTCATTCCAAAACATTCTTTGGTTTTTATTATTGGCTCAGTAAAATCTGCTCGTGTTGGGAAACCTCAGGCTTCTGTGTTGTGCATGCATGTTTTGAGTGGCTTCATTTTGCTGATTATCAAAACCTGCATGTTGAATGTGCAGTCCGGGGAAAATAGCCACCATTGCACTGCCGGATGACATGTGAGAGTGGGATCAATAACAAAAACTAAATAATTATAATGAATACATGACAGAAATGAGAATAAGTGTGTATGGTAGTAAGCAACATCATCAGTCTTCTACCCTGCATGCCAATGCCTACCATTGCCTAATGCTGATGCAAGGAGAGTTTTTTCTGTGTAAATTGTCATAGTTTTATATACATGTATTATATAGTATAATGCATGCATTCAGTTGTAATTAGCCAAATAATTTGATCTATATTTATATAGCAACTTGCTGTGTACATTGCTGCTAAATCATGGTATGATATGATTAAACACGTCATTTTACAAAATAAACTTCAGTTAATTTTACCAATGCAGACGTATGGTTTTTGTCTCTTCGTATGTCTTTGTTAGAAAGTCATTTTATATGGTCACTTCATATTCTATTAAAAAATAAATCAGTAATAATAATCACCTGAATCAGTGCCTGAAGTGAATTCTACTGCGTCTTGTTATGGATCCTAAATCAAACAACAAAGCCATGAGTTTACATGAGCCGCCATTTAAAACACAATAGTAATGTGGTGTGTCTAAATCTTTGAACACAAAAGAAGTCCTCGGTTGTCCCTACGGATGCAATGTCTACAACTGAACACTTGAAGGCGGCAGAGACAAAACTTGGCTGTAAAATACAGTCCAATCGCAATGACATCATCTTATTTCACATGTAAACACAGCTGCATCCTTTATGTAACCAGTGACAAAAATATTTAATTGGCATTGACAGAAATGAAGCATATCGTAACAGAAGGCACATTTAACATTGTTACTCACACACAAAAGACGACTATCTATCTATCTATCTATCTATCTATCTATCTATCTATCTATCTATCTATCTATCTATCTATCTATCTATCTATCTATCTATCTAACTGTCTGTCTATGATCCATGGCTGAAAAAAAAACATTTTAAATATTAAGTTAAATATTATAGTCTTGTTAAGAATTACAGTTTAACTCATTGATTTGGTTTCTGTAAACATCTTTCAGTCTGTCTGTCTGTCTATCTATCTATCTATCTATCTATCTATCTATCTATCTATCTATCTATCTATCTATCTATCTATCTATCTATCTATCTATCTATCTATCTATCAAACAGTCAGTCTTTCCGTCTGTCTATCTTGTCTGTGTGTCTGTCTATCTATCTACCAAACAACCAACCAGTCAGTCAGTCAGTCTGTCCATCTATCTATCTAACTATCTATCTACCAAACAGTCAGTCTGCCCGTCTGTCTGTCTGTCTGTCTGTCTATCTATCTATCTACCAAACAACCAACCAGTCAGTCTGTCTGTCTGGTAAAAACAACAGCAACAACAAGGAACCTAGCCTATTACTAGTAATACCAAATCAGTATCCACTAAAAATGGGCCTTGGAAACTGACATATTTTTTCCATGGTATAAGTTAAGTTGCTTTGTATGTTCTTCTCTCACAGTTAAAACCGCTTGCAGACGCCAGTCAATTTAAACTAAAACTACACCGTATTCCTGCCGCACACGTAAAAGTTTGATTTATAAATTTATAAACAACGCCACACTTACTACAAGCTCTAGCGTGACCTATGCGGTGAAGCTGTCGCTTTAAATGCAACTCGTGCTGAGAGAGCTGTCAATCATGTGCCGTAGTCCCGCCCCTTCCTGCAGCAGCAGCAGCCGCGGCTCAGCGCTTTCACACAGACAGAGGCATTACGTCCGTACAGCAGACTCACCAAATCTGCACAGTCTAATTATCAGCGACAAAATGGGATAATCAGGAACGTCTTCGGAGAATTTCGCCAACGGGATTTAAACAACCAATCGAAGAGAGTGTGGTTTTTATTATTTTTCCATCCTCCACAGACGTGAGCACAAAGGGCTTTGGGGATAATGGTGATAAAAAAGATATCACATTATGAACGCAGGACAACGAGAATGCATCACCCCATACACTACCGGACCGTATAATTTGTTTATGGTGAGCCGTTTAATTTGAACAGCTTTCTGAGGAGTATTTTGTTCGTCCCGTGCGCTCTGGAGAACAGATGCTGTCATTGTGCTGGGGACCGAGATTTGTGCGCGTGATATTCTGCAAGTGGTCTCGTCGGAATGGTGCGCGAGATGAGAATGCGCGTGCCTTTATTGTTTCCGCGCGACATGCTCAATAACGATCGCTCTGTCGTTGAACAGCTCGAGCACAACCACGACAGTTTCTGTACGGAAAGATTGAGACTTCTGGTGAGAATTCCAGGGAAATCATGAACCAAGTGTTTTGTAAACATTTGTATTGAGTGTTAATGAAATATCCTTCTTTATTATGAACGGGCACTGCCGAATTGTCATACTTTCCTCAGATTTGCGTTCCTTCGGCTAAATTCCACTTAGTTGGAGATACTTGACCGCTTGTTTCTGACCAATTTAATATTTCCAGCCTTGAGCAAACACAATGGTGGAGCCTGTGGGTTTTATAGAAGCCTGGAAAGCACAGTTTCCAGAGTCAGAGCCTCCGAAGATGGAGCTGAGGTCAGTTGGGGGGATTGAACAGGAACTGGAAAAGTGCAAAGCATCTATAAGACGCTTGGAAATGGAGGTGAACAAAGAACGTTTCCGGATGATATATCTTCAGACGCTGCTGGCCAAGGAGAGAAAGAGCTATGACCGGCAGAGATGGGGTTTCAGGAAACCACCTCACATGACAGAAGGGGACCCGCAAGCTGTTGGGGCCGATTCTCAGCATCTCCATGCACAAGAGCACGGACAGCCAGAGCGCAGCAGGTTTCAGCCTGTAGGGGAGACCAGAGCAAAACCACGACCACCCCCTGCCAGAAAGTCTGCCTCCCACGGTGATGGATTGGAGCTTCAGTCGTCATTTGAGGCTCACCAACCAGGGCCAGTTAGTGAGGCCGATGGGCTCTCGCCATCCACACAGAGGGGTGGAGTCTCTCCTCGGAGGCCCCATCCACCTCCTGACAAGGAGCTGCCCTCGGACCCGTCCCAAAAAGACAAGGCAAGCATGGGGCTTGGGGTTGCTGCCTTACGTTCAAACTTTGAGAGGATAAAGCGGGCCAACTCGCACTCAGCCAGTGATGGGAAATCAGGCCAGGAGAAACCCTTCTACACCAACGTGGAGTTTCATCACGACAGGGGCCTAGTAAAAGTCAACGACCGTGAAGTTTCAGACAAAATCAGCTCTCTTGGGAACCAAGCCATGCAGATGGAGCGCAAAAGGTCTCTTCATTCACTTCCAGGCAACCTGGCAACAGTCGCAGGTGATCTGCGCGCCAGGCCTGTGTATAGAGGACGCTCTACAGAAAGCACCTGTGGATATGATGCCGAGTATGAAGATGGTGAACCCAGCCCTCGCTACAGCGCAGCAAGACCAAACGGGGCCAAACCACCACCGCCACCATGGCAGCCATCAGATTTCCAGCCATATACTAGTGTTTACGTCGGAGGGATGATGCCTGGGGAAGGTGGTGATGGTAGGGTCCCAATGAGAGAGCATGGAGGAAGTGACGACCATCTTCTCACCTGGCCAAGGAGGTCTTATTCACCTGGAAGTTATGAGGACGTGGGAGGTGGAGGAGGCGGATACACACCGGACTGCAGCTCCAATGAAAACCTGACGTCTAGTGAGGAAGATTTCTCTTCGGGACAGTCCAGTCATGTGTCGCCCAGCCCTACGACAGCCTACCGCCGCCCGATTAGAGAGAAGAGTCGCTCACCTTCCCAGAACTCCCAGAATTCTCAGCACTCGTTTGACAGCAGCAGCCCTCCTACACCGCAGACACAGAAACGGCACCGGCAGCAACATGTCGTGGTGTCCGAGGCCACCATAGTGGGCGTAAGGAAAACAGGACAAATCTGGCCCCATGATGGAGAGTCTGTTGCCTCCAGTCGGGCATCCCATGACAACAGTTACCATGGAGATCTAGGTAAGTCACGCTTATGACATCTACTGCATGTGTTGCTGTTTTCCGGTTTGTCCTATTACAGGTTAAGTGGCTTCAAACAAACAGACAATGCAACAGAAACATGAAGGGATTTAGATAAGCAAAATTGCCTATAAGACTCTGAGTGCCTCTGAGATGACATCACTCATGACATCACTGTCAATCAAATGAGTAATTGCAACCTAAAGCTTTTGGGCCAGACACGCTCATCCTGCAGCGAACATGAGTGCGCATCTTCTCTGTCTGTTTGACCAGTCAGCTTTTAGTTTCTAAACTCCCATTATATTTGGTCGTTCTTCCATTAAATTCATTATCTGTGGATTTAAATTTGTACTTCCCATCCCGAGCTATTGTCCACTTTTGTTTCACACTCTGTCTGTATCTGTCTGATACCACTTGCTTCGGTTGGTTAGTCCAGTCCGATGAGACACCTCTCCTATATGAGGAGTAATTAACTGGACAAGCTAATTTACGATAAGGAGGTCAGGGTATGTGTGTGTCAGAGTTTGTTTCTTTGTGCAGGACTGTTGCGGAGTAGCTTTCACTCGTGTCACATGCTGTTGTGGGAATCTCCCGACAGGACAAAGGACCCAGCTGTTTGAGTGAAAATCTTGTATCTGTTTGCATTTGTTTTATGGTACAGTATGAGGCTGCAGTGATTAATAGACTTTTGGGGGTTGCAAAATGCTCATGTGATCCATCTGTAGTGAATTACGACTTACATATTTTACAAATGCGTTTCTCTCTATAATGATCATTTTTAGCATTCATTGATCTTGAAAAAAATTATTTGGTGTTCGTAATGTATTCATTGTCCTACATTATCTTATGCTTACCTATTCTGTGTTTAGTTGACAGATAATATAGTAAAAGCAGTACCATTGTTGATTGTAATTACAGTTTATTTGGGCTGGATTTTATTTTAATAGACTTTAAAATGTCATAATTTTTCTATTAATACAAAGCTGAATTTGTAAAAACAATCTATATTTTATTTAACCTTTTTTGTTTTAAATACAAAAACAATACAGGGCATCACGGTGGCTCAGTGGGTAGCACAATCGCCTCACAGCAAGAAAGTTGCTGGTTCTAGCCCCAGGTGGGTCAGTTGGCATTTCTGAGTGGAGTTTGCATGTACTCCTCGTGTTTGCGTGGGTTTCCTCCGGTTGCTCTGTTTTCCCCCACAGTCCAAAGACATGCAGTATAGGTGAATTGGGTAAGCTAAATTGGCTGTAGTGTATGTGTGTGAAAGAGTGTGTATGGGTGTTCTTCAGTGTTGGGTTGCGGCTGGAAGGGCATCCGCTGCGTAAAACATTTGCTGGATAAGTTGGCGGTTCATTCTGCTGTGGCGACCCCTGATTAATAAAGGAACTAAGCCAAAATGAAAATGAATGAATTTTCAGGATTCATACTGACCCCAAACTGAGCGGTATTGTGAAAAAAAACCCCATAATTTATAAACAAATTTTGCTGGAGAAATATTGGATTGCGATTAGATAAAACTTCTATTTTAATAAATTTTTACAGTAATAAGCATAGGTTTCACCCAAAACTCAACTCTGGGCAAGTAATTTCACAAAAATTATAAACAGCAATCAATAACCACAATAATTAACTACAATCAAAGTAGTACTTACTTAAAAAAATATGAACTCAAAAATATCTTTACGTCTTTTACCATGTGTGACAATGGACCACACAATACAGCCTAAAATCTGGCCATGTTCTTTTTTTTTAGATTTATTTTTACAGTTTTTTTTATTTTTATTATTGGGATATGACCATCTGCAGAGAGGAAGAGAAGATTGAGAGCGAGAGGTGGTATGTGATCAGGAAAGGTCTGCGAGCCGGGACTCAAACTCAGGACTTCTGAAGCGCAATGGCGTAATCACCCTTTTTCCACTACTCACGGTAACCCGAGTTCGATTCCTGCCTTGTGGTCCAATGCCGATCCTTCCCCTCTCTCTGCTTTCCTGTCAATACTCTGCTCTATACAATAAAGGTGAAATACCTTAAAAATATCTCCTTACACCCCAATTGCAATACAGAATTGTTTTGTAGTTTTCATTACATTTTTACTTGATGCCTTTTAAAAAAATATTTTTTTTTACAGTATCAGCAAATCACAATCTCAGTAAGTCACATAAGTAACACTGTCTGAGTAACAAGGATTCAGCTGATTTTTTAAAGACTTAAATTACAGCACATAATACATGCCTATCATTTTTATTTATCTTTTATTCTCTCAACTATTCTGAAATTCTATCACACTGACCCCAGGATAATGGGCAATGTTATTTCTGAGCCCTGCAGAGATAAAAACTCTATTGACCCGCACTACAGTATAGTATTGTTACCTAACTAGCAGGTGCCTGGAAGTTTCAGCCAGAGACAAATATCCATGGTTGTGACTCACCAGGTTGCTATTACCACCGTCTGACTCTCTACATTTTAAACTTTGAACTGTGCTGTTTTACTTGTGTTATCCAGTATCTTTTAACCTGCTTCTCGCCAAGAAGCAGAATGACATCAGCTATCAGAATGACTACAGGGGAGGCGGTGTCATGTGGCATGCTTGGATTGAAATCCAAAGGCTTTGAGCTGATGAGGTGAATTGCACTTTGGTGTGAAGCAGACAGACCCGGAGGGCGCTGGCACAACCCGTCCATTCAAATGCCAGGGAGATTCTCTTTGTGCAAGCGTGAGATAACACAAAGGGTGGACGGAGATAGATAGACACCAGCTGAGCACAGTTCAGTATGCTCCAGGTTCTTTTGTCTTCATACTGACTAAATAAAAGACAAAAAAGTTTGAAAAGCAATCTCATATTTTAAAAGGTAGCATGGCTTAAAGGTGAAAAAGAAACCTGAAATTAAAATTTTGTTTAAATTCTTCTGACCCTCAGGACATCAAAGATATTGGTAAACATTTTGTAAGCTGAATGGACATTAATTCACAGTGCTCTTCCATAAAATGCAAGTCAGTGGCATTTTATGGAAGAATGGGCAAGTGCATATTTTGCCAGCATCCATACAGCCTACTGCTTGTCTAATGTTCATTTAAGAGAGTTTGATGAATCAGTGAACTATTACAAAATAGTCCAAAAGACCAGTCAGAGAGAGAGATTGTTGATAGCTGAACTATTGTTTTCAAAAGTTTGCGTTTCAGTCTGTCTACAATGAAACGAAATACCAGCATTTCCAAACTCCAAACGGGCTCCCTAGTAGGGCTTGGTATCTAGCAGGGGTCACCAACATGGTGCCCGTGGGCACCAGGAAGCCCGCGAGGATCACATGAGTTGCCCGTGGACCCGTTATAAAATTAGCTTACCAAAGCACCACATACCAGTAAGCTGCATCTAATATTTTTTTTAGCTATTCTTTTTAAATCACACTTGCATTGGTTGATATTTATCTGTTTCCAATCATTGTTGACAACTATTGTGAGAAATCATTAACATGATCAGTGTCTTCACATAGATGAATATCATTAAATATTAATAACATATAATTAAAAGTAAATTGAGCAAATTTGTTATTAGGAAGTGTGTATCAAACTGGTAGCCCTTCACATTAAACTATACCCAAGAAGTAGCTCTCATTTTCCAAAAGGTTGGTGACCCCTGGTATCTAGTTTAACACTTTTTAGGCTGTGACCGAATTGCTTCGATACATATATATTTTAAAATTGGTATTAGGGTTGGGTCGATAGATGATAACATTGTCCATCTCCAATGGCCGATAGACATCATGATGCTGACCTGTCTCACTATAGTTGTTGAACATGATATTTAATTAATCTTGTCTCCATCTAATGACTCTTCTGCCTTTTGAATCCATCAGGTAACTTGTCACAGCGTCATCATAACAACACAGATCACTCTGCCTATTCATGCCTGAGTCCTGCGGAAAAGTGATTGACAGGTGGTAATTTGTGTGTAACTTGATATTCATTTATTTCTGATTTGGTTATGGGTAAAACAAAGACCATGCGGGTCAGGTAGTTGAAACGGTAGGCTACAAATAATAAATTTGTTATTAATTTATTAATTATCCATAAATAATTAATTCACTGCCACCTACAACGATGATGTCATTGTCCATCGCAATGTTTCATTTAAGACATCATACGATTCCAAATGGATCGACATCACCCAATCCTAATTGGTATCTAAAAAAAGTGTCGTTCAGGGCCAGTGTCCCTGCAGGGTTTAGCTCCAACTTGCTTAAACACACCTGCCTGGATGTTTCAAGTATACCTAGTAAGACCTTGATTAGCTTGTCCAGTTGTGTTTGATTAGGGACTAAAATCTGCAGGACACCGGCCCACCAGGAAAAAGTTTGGTGACCCCTGGTCTACACCACGTGTAATTATATCAAAATGAATGTATTTTAAAAACAAAACTTATTAGTATAAACAGCACCTAAATAAACAGCAAATTAAAAATTTTGGGTTAAACTATCATTTTAACAGGTGGTGTTTAGGTAAAAGTCTATTGATCAGAGGTGTCAAACTCCTGTAGTCTCAAAGTTCCTAAAGGACCACAGGTCTGCATAGTTTAGTTCCAACCTTATTTAAACACACCCGATCAAATTAATGGAGTGCTTCAGGCTTGTTTAAAACCTACAGGTTAGTGTGTTGGAGCAGGATTGGAACTAAACAGTTTGACAGCCTTGCCATAGATCTGTAACATGATGCATTGGTAAATGTTTTCCAACCTTAATATGCAGCAGTTATCTGCAAATCAATTTACATTTTGGTTTAAGATCATTTGCACTTTTATTCCTCTAAAATAGTGAATCAAGCTTGTCAGTATAAAATCAATAGAGTGGCCATTCATCTAATAACGGAAGTCCTCGCAGGTCTCACAGGTTACCATTAGATTGACAATAAGCAACTTATCTTGGCAAGAAAGAGATGCTATCTTATATATTGCTGACTGCCTTTTTATTTGGTTTGACTGGCTGCTTAGAAACATGATA